CTTCCTCCTCCTCCTCCTCCTCCTCCACAACCTCCAACTCCTCCTCCACCCCCTCCTCCTCCCCCTCCTCCTCCTCCTCCACCCCCTCCTCCTCCTCCTCCTCCTCCTCCTCCTCCTCCTCCTCCTCCTCCTCCTCGCCTGGACGAGACCAAGGGCACGCCCATCAGCGGACCGATCGGAATGCGCTGGGGGCACTTCCAGCCGCAGGGCACCAACAAGAAGATCGCCGACAGGCGCGATGGGGCTTCGCACGCTTGGGCGGCGGCTGCGAGGTGGGCCAGGCATATTGGCAACATGAGCTACTACCACGACCACCTCTGCGAGGTGCTGAAGGACCCCGCGAAAAGGTATGGACGTCATCGGCAGCAGCAGGAGGGAAACGTAACGAATTTCCCCCCCCCCGACAGGCCATCTGCGACGACCTCAGCTGGCGGCGCCAAGCCGGCCCATGCTGGGCCGGCCCCCCCTCTGGCTCGGGGGGGCACAGGCAGCCCGTCTGAGGAGCAGCTGTGCGCCAAGATGGGCAAGTCGCTGTACGTTCTAATTGGCCGTACTCCCTCTGCTGGACCAGCGTGCGCGGGAGCTGTTCCAGGCTGGCCTGTTGCGGATGGCCGAGCCCGTTCTCAATGAAGAGGTGGAGTACGTCACCAGTAGGGCCCAGGAGCTGCGGGCCAAGGCCGCAGCTGCTCAGGAACGCTCCTGGCGGCACTGGGTCGAGAAGGCATTGGCAGGTGGCGCTGGGCTTGCACACCGGTTTCTTAGACCTCGAGAGCTCCAGGAAGTTCTTCAGAGTTTGGAGGGTGGTCAGCCCTACAAGTACGCGGACGACTGCATGCAGCAGTGGGGGCAGATATGGAGCACGCACAACGGCCGCCAGCTCGACCCGCCCTCGGACGTGCAAAGGGACCCCCTCCCAGAGCTGACAGCAGCAGACATCCGACATGCCGTCGGCACCTTCCCGTGGAAAACAGGAGTGGGCCAGGTTCTGGTAGCACCGAGGCTCCTCGAGCAGGCGTCGGACGAGGCGCTGCATGCGGTGGCCCTCCTCTTCATGCGTTGCGAAGCCTTGACGGTCTGGCCGCAGGACCGCCTCCTGACCACCTTGGTACGGCTCCCCAAGAGCGACGGGGGGCACCGCCTGATCGCCCTCATGAATACGCTGGTGCGCGTCTGGGGGAAGGCGCGGCGCCGCGTCTCGGAGGCGTGGGAGCAGAGTCACCCCTCGGAATTCTTCTGGGGCTCAGGGGCCGGGAGGTCTTCCTCGGCGTCAGCCTTCGAGACCAATATGGAGGCGGAGATCGCGGACTTGTTGGGGGAGCACGCAGTCACGGTGCTTTTTGACCTCCTCAAGTTCTATGAGCTGGTGCGGCACGGTGTCCTGTTGGATTGCTGCCAGGCCCTTGGCTACCCCATGCGCATGGCGTGGATGCTGGTGGGGTCGTACCAGCAGCCGCGGACGATCCGCGCCTACGGCTCGCTCTCCGCCATGGTCACGGCCTTCCAGGGCATGCTAGCTGGGTGTTCCCACGCCACGACGCTGGCCAGGGTTTTGCTTACGAAAGGGCTGAATGTGTCGATAGCAAGGAGCCCTTTGGTGCGGCCACGCGCGCTGATCGACGACGTCTCCTTCCAGTGGGTGGGGACTGACCTGAGCACCCTCGGCCAGCTCTGGACCACGGTGCGCACCTTCTGCTTGGAGCTGCAGCCGCTCGGCTGTCCCGCGAAGTGCGGGTTCGTCGCCACGACAAGGGAGGCGAAGCGGAAGTTCTCGGAGTACGCAAAGGTCATCCGCTTCCGCGGGAAAGCCCACATGTGGAACCTTGGCCACGAGCACCACGGCAGGGCGGTCAAAAAGCTGGTCCATAGGCGTCGCATGGTGCACATGAGCGGCAAGTGGAGCAAGATTGACCAGCTCCGCAAGGCCGTGGGGTCCAGGAAGGCGGTCATCCTCTGGAAGACTGGGGTCCTGCCAGCGGCCGCACATGGCACGAGCGTGGCCGGGTGCGAAGACCAGTCGCTCCGGCAGCTCCGTGCGACAGCGGGCCGCTTCGCGGGCTACAAGGGCCACGGGTCCTTGACGACCTACCTGATGACGATGCCAGCCAGGACCTTCGACCCGATCTTCGAGGTCACGATGGCGGTGGTCGGGAATTTCGCAGATTGGGTCTGGCAAGCGAGGGGCTCTCCCGCGAGGCTCTGCAAGGCCTTCCTCGCCATGCAGTCCAAGTTCGAGGATGCCAAGAAGGTCACGTGGGCCCGTTGCCGCGGGCCCCTGGCGGCAGTATGGCTTAGCTTGCGCCGGATAGACTGGCAGCTGTGTGACCCGATGCACTTCCAGGACGACCGCGGCCAGGTCGTGCACCTGCTGCGCCAGGCGCCTTCGGATGTCCTGACGCTCCTGGAGCAGGGCATCATGAGATGGCAGGAGCGCCACATGCTGGCGCACTGGGGGAGGGCGCTGGCCCTGGGCCACCAGGACGTGGGCCGCTGCCCAAGGCGGAGCGGGGCCCTGAGGGCACTCCAAGCCAACGCGCTCTGGCCTCCTCAGCGCTCTTTCCTTGCGGGGAGGTGCGAGAAACCGGACTGCGTACTGTGCGGCGCGCCCGAGGGCTCCAACGGCCACTTGTACTTCGAGTGCGAGGCGGTGCAGCGGCAGCAGGACGATGAGGAGGAGGAGCCTTTCCCCGAGGAGCTGCTGGTCACACGAGAGAGGCTGCGGGGGCAGGCAGTGGACACGGGCGATGGGCCCAGCTACGAGCACCTTGAGTTCGCCCTGCCGCTCGCCCCTCCGCTGTCCGACCAGGTCCCCGAGGAGCTCCCGGAGTTCGGGTGGGGGCTGGAGGGACAAGCTTGGGGGCAGCAGCTCTTTGTCGATGGGTCTGGCCGCCACTCATCGTTCGTGGAGGTGCGTAGGTGCGGATGGTCAGTCGTGCAGATCTCGGACGAGCTGCTGCCGATGAAGGCGCGCTGGGGCGGCCTCCTGGGGCTCGTGCAGACGGTGCCGAGGTCGGAGCGGTACGCCGGCATGCGAGCCATTCAGCTTGGGCGGCCGCCAGTGCACGTGCTGTCAGACCACATGTCTTTCGTGCAGGAGGTCCACGAGTGGCAGGGTAGGCACACCAGGCCGCGAGCTCCGCACGCGATGGTTTGGCGGCAAATCGTGGCGACGGTGGAGGGGCGCGGCGTGCCCATGCCGACTGCACAGTGGGTGCGTGCCCACCGCGAGCTGGAGGACGCCGTGCTGGCCGACGGCACGGCTTTCCGCTACGTCGGCAATTTCTGGGCCGACGTCTTCGCCAAGATGGGCTCGGCAAGCATCATGGTGTCGGAGGTGCACGTGCGGGCGTGCGAGATCCAGCTGCGGGACGTTCGGGAGGCCATGCGCTACGTGGCCTGGGCGGCTGAGCGCGCAGTGCGGCTTTCAGTTGGCGGGTCAGCTGCGGTCCCGCAGCAGGTAGCCAAGGTGGCCCAGGTGGGCATGAAGGTACCAGAGTTGAGTATCGTGGCCCACGACCTCAAGCAGTGAAGCAATTGCGGCGCGGGCTGCATCCCAACACGCGGGTCGCGCTGGAGACCGGGAGGCCCTGGCGTGGAGCCACCAACGTGATGACCGCGGGCTCCCTGCTGCTGGACAGCATGCGGGGCCACCAGGCCAGAACGGCTTCGGCCTCCACGTCGGCTGCATAGTTTTCGTTGCGATGCCAGGTGGCGTTGGCAATGGGGCCCAGCGTGCTCCGGAAGCGCTCCGCCGGAGCACGTTCGGGCACGTGATGGCTCGGGGTTCGCCCTGAGCGCGCTGCCGGAGAGCATCGTCGTCGCCGCGGGCTTCTTCATGGTGCTCTACGGCGTGTTCGTGGGTCAGGCCTTTGGTCTGACCCGCCCAGAAGTGCTGGTAGAGCGGTGGCTCCCAGTTCCAGCAGGGTCCAAGGGTGTGACGTGAGGGATCCGTGGCTTGACAGGTCCCTGGTCGTCTGAGGGACCAGCCCCGCCGTGCTCGGCGGCATTGGCGAGTGGGCGCACAGGCACTCTGGCGCCCTCTTCTGCTGTATCTCTCTCTCTCTCTCTTTCTCTCTCTCTCTCTCTCTCTCTCTCTCTCTCTCTCTCTCCTCCGCTCTCTCCTGCCTCCTCCTCCTCCTCCTCCTCCTCCTCCTCCTCCTCTCCTCCGCCTCCTCCTCCTCTCCTCCTCTCCTCCTCCGCCTCCTCCGCCTCCTCCTCCTCCGCCTCCTCCTCCTCCTCCTCCTCCTTCCGCCTCCGCCTCCGCCTCCGACTCCGCCTCGCTCCGCCTCCGCCTCCGCCCTCCTCCTCCTCCTCCTCCGCCTCCTCCTCCTCCTCCTCCTCTCCCTCCTCCTCCTCCTCCTCCTCTCCTCCCCTCCTCCTCTCCTCCTCCTCCTCCTTCCTCCTCCTCCTCCTCCTCCTCCCTCCTCCTCCCCTTCCTCCTCCTCCTCCTCCTCCTCCCTCCGCCTCCGCCTCCGCCTCCGCCTCCGCTCCGCCTCCGCTCCTCCTTCCTCCTCCCTCCTCATCCTCCCTCCTCCTCCTCCTCCTCCTCCTCCTTCCTCCTCCTCCTCCTCCTCCTCCTCCTCCTCCTCCTCCCTCCTGCTCCTCCTCCTCCTCCTCCTCCTCCTCCTCCTCCTCACTCCTCCTCCTCCTCCTCCTCTCCTCCTCCTCCTCCTCCTCCCCCCGCGGTTCCGCGCCTACGTCGGCGCCGAAGCCCAGCGTGGGCGCCTCTCGCGCGCGCCCGTGGCTCCCTCCAGGCTCCACTACTTCCCCTGAGATCCTGGCGCCTCGTTTTTGTTGAGCCTGGCTTTTTCGCCTTTTCTCAAACCCTGGGACCCTCACAGTTCGATCTGCTTCGACAAAATGACGCAGAAAGATGAGGTCGAGAGTTCCAGGCGTGATGTTATGAGATGCTGCATTGTTTCGCTACGTCGGATCTCAGGGTCTGCCGTCCCTCGGCTCGCACCGGAGCGGTCAGCCTGGATCTGCCTGGGCCCCACCAAGATCTGCCCAGATCTGCTAGGAATGATTTGCATCTGCTGTAAACTGTCCGGCTTGCCCCCCCCACAAGTCGATTGGCGAAAAGTCGTCAAGCCCTTGGGGGCTTGGGCCGTCGCTGCCCTGCGGTGGGCCCGCTCACTGCGGCAGTCGCATGCCGCGCAACGTTCTGGCGCACTCGTGCCGCAGGGTCCGCGGGCCGACCGTGGTCGGCCAGGCCGCGGCGGCCCCCAGCGGGTCCTGGCCAGGTGCGCCCGCGCACACGCCCGCACACGCACCTGGGCACGCGCACCACACTCCGAGCGCGGGCGCGAGCGCAGAAGCGCACGCGTGTGCGCGCGGGCGCGCGAGCGGACGGCGTTCCAGCACAGTCCCACCAGCGAGAGTCCGCGAGGGTTTAGAGCGTCCAAGATGGCCCAAGACAGCTCCAAGAGCGCCTCAGAGAGCCCAAGATGACCTCCACGATGGCTCAAGATAGCGCAGGATGCCTCAAGATGGCTCCCAAGATGCTCCAACAGGCCCCAATAATACTCCAAGTCGGCACCAGGTGGCCACGGAGCCTCCCCAGGAGACCTCCAAGAGGCTAAAACCCTTCCAAAGTTTAAAAATCATCCATGAGGTGTACCTTCTCGCCTTTTTGCTGCCGATGGCCTTCCGAAGCCTCAGGACAACCCCGAGAGAAGCCCAAGAGAGCTCCAAGACGGCCCCGAGAGCGCCCAAGAGCGCCCCAAGAGCGCCCCAAGAGGCGATGTTGGAAGCTCTCGAGGGGCGGGACTACTTGGAGCTCCCCCCTTCTTTGATCGATGTCATCCAAGATGGTTCCAAGAGCGTCCGCAAGGCTCCCAAGAGCGCCCCAGGAGGGCCCCAAGAGGCGCCAAGGAGACCCTAAGAGGCGCCCAAGAGCCATCCAAGAGCTCCCAAGAGACCCCCAAGAGGCTCCAAGAGGCTCCCCGAGGTACGCAAGAGGCCCCCGGGACCGCCCTGAGGCCCCCAAGAGACGGCCCAAGACGGCCCCAACTCGTCTGGGCGTCGTTTCTGGATGGGTTGGTAGGGTTGTTTTTTTGGTCGGCGGCGCCCAGGCGAATGTCAGGAAGCGGGTCAACAACGAACGGGGCGCGAACGAAGCTAATTGGCCGCAGTGGCATATGCACATGCGAGGAACAAAATGACCCAAATTGGACGCCAAAGGCTCCCAGCAAGTGGGGACGCAGAGGCGCGGCGACCGCCGGCGGAACGGGGGGGTAGTCGCCCTTTCGGCGCCAAGCTCCAACCGAACCACAAACGGGGGCAAGAGAGAAGGGGGAGGGCGAACAACGGAAGGGGGGAGGGGGAGAGAGCAAAGCGAGCGACAAACACAAGCACACAGCAGCACCACGAGTAACGATGGTGCGGCGAAAGAGACCTGACTCATCAAGGCTCACTGAAGCTGAGGTGTAGCTGATCCGCGTCGAAGCGCCATCCAGTGGGGCCACTGGTGCGCGCTCACGAGGCTGAGCCACCTCCAGCCAAAGCCAGTGCGTGCACATCGTATCCGACTCTCGCAGTTCGGGGGCCAGACGATGCAATGCACTGACGGGGGTTGGTTGCAGACTGCTCTGCAGGGGGAACGACCACGAACTGCAGAAGGCTGAACCACTCATGCAGGGCCACTCCCTTGACGAAGCCAAACATCGGGTGTCACCGAATGCATGGCTGACGGCCGCACCCGCTCCACATCTCCAGCCCGTAGCCAGTGCGCGCACATCGTCTCCGACTCACGCAGTTCGGGGGCACAACGATGCAAAGTACTGACGAGGGCGGGTGGCCGGGGCTGCTCTGAAGAGGCGACCACAATGCAGAAGTCTGAACCACTCATGCAGGGCCGCACACTTGCAAAGGTGTGGCTGATCCGCCTCAGCGCGCCATCCAGTAGAGGACCACCGGTGTGCGCTCACGAGGCTGAGCCGCCTCCAGCCGGTAGCCAGCGCCTGCGCATCGTATCCGACTCACGCAGTTCGGGGGCGAAACGATGCAAAATACTGACGAGGGCTGGTAGCCGGGGCTGTACTCTCCCAGTTGAGCGGGGGGGGCGCAGCCGAAAGCCGCAGAGACATTGTGAATGAAGGAAGAGGAGGAGGAGGAGGAGGAGGAGGAGGAGGAGGAGGAGGAGGAGGAGGAGGAGGAGGAGGAGGAGGAGGAGGAGGAGACGGAGGAGTCTGCGTCCGATGCAATCTTCACAGTTGATCGGTGGGGGGCGCAGCCGAAAGCCGCAGAGACATTGTGAATGAAGGAAGATCGGGGGCGCAGCCGAAAGCCGCAGTCACCGATCCAGATACCTCGCCCACGGACGCCACAAGGTTCCCTACGGGAGCCCCGTTCTCGGCCACTGGGGGCTGGGTGGAACCTGCTGCTGGAGCTTCGCATTCACGGCCTGACCCCTTGCTTCTGCGTCCAATGCAATCTGCGCAGTTGATCGGTGGGGGGCGCAGCCGAAAGCCGCAGAGACATTGTGAATGAAGGAAGATGGGGGGCGCAGCCGAAAGCCGCAATCACCGATCCAGATACCTCGTCCACGGACGCCTCAAGGTCCCCTACGGGAGCCCCATACTCGGCCACTGGGGGCTGGATGGAACCTGCGGCTGGAGCTCCGCACTCACGGCCTGGCCCCTTTGCGGGGGGAGGAGGGGGGCGAGAACGGAACTGGGATCAGAACGGGGGCCCCGGCAGTGCGCCGGCACACGTGGACCACGCTGGAGAGGGCGGCGCCACCGCCACCGCTGACCAACAGAAACGGGATGCAAGAGTACCGGAGCCACAGAGGGCGGACCCGGGACCAGCGGCGGCCTCCCAGGGAGCCCAGCGCCAGGATGCAAGCCACAGGAGAGCCCGCGGGACACTCAGTCCGTTCCCACGGCAGCCGCTGAGCCCACACTTCAGCACAATACCTCTTGTCCAACTCCACGGCCTCCGGCGGGGGGGGGGCGCAGCCGAAAGCCGCTGAACACAGGCACACGGCAGGGCAACGGTTGGTGGGGAACACAGGTACACGGCGGGGGGCGGAAGCTGCAGGGACATCCCGGCAGTGCGCCAGCCCAGGCGGACCACGCTGGAGAGGGCGGCGCCGCCGCCACCGCTGACCAACAGAAACGGGATGCAAGAATACCAGAGCCACAGAGGGCGGACCCTGGACCAGCGGCGGCCCCCCAGGGAGCCCGGCGCCAGGATGCAAGCCACAGGAGAACCCGCGGGACACGCCATCCTTCACACTGCAGTCGCTGAGTCCACACTTCTGCACTGTACCTCTTGTCCAACGGTCCATAGTTGTCCCCCAAGGCCTCCTGCAGGTGGGGGGCGCAGCCAAAAGCCGCTGAACCAGGTACTCGGTGGGGGGTGGAAAGCTGCAGGGATGGCATATTCCATGGCGATGCACGCTACGTCCGACAACAGCACGTCAGGCCAGACCAAGAGAGAGAAAGTATGAGACCCCCAATCGCGCTGATGAGTACGGTGTACACCTCGTAGTCTACAGAGAAGGTGGATTTCATAGTAGAATTCCAGACTGCCCACGGTATCGCCACAAGCGCAGCACGCAGACAGAAGAGAAAAATACCGAGGTCGACGGTATAGCCACACACGCAGCACGTAGACAACAGCCGAGATGAAGAAGTAGAAATTCTGAACGAAACAGAAGTCGAGACACGACGCATGATGCGCCGGGCAGCAACGGGCCTACTGCCAGAGACCATCCCCCACGCACCTGCCCCCCACGAATGCGATGCCGTTTACAAAGTGTAAGCCAGCAGAGTGCGTCTGCAAGAGCCCCATCTACGATTGGACATCCAAGTGACATGGTAGCAGCTGCACGCCGAGAACATCTGCGCCTGAAGGGGGGCGCAGCTAACCGCCGCGAGCCACACTCTCAGCAGGGCAGCGACGGGCCTGCTGCCAGTGACCGCCCACACGCACCCGATCCCAGCGTGAGCGATGCCACGAGGGGGGTAGCAAGGCTACTGTAGGGAGACGGCCCACCACTGTTTCTTGCGTTTCTTGGGGGCCTGGTTGTTCGGGTGGCCCTTGGCCGCGTGGTGATCACTGCTCACACCTCCGCTCCGACCCAGGTGCAGCTGCCACGGCCGAGTCCAGTCGACGTCGAGGCCCAGCGCGTCGCTGAAGACCCGTGCGTCGCACTTGTGGCTGCGGTGGGATTCCAGGAAGAAGTGGCAGGTTTGCGGGTCTTGCCGAAGCGGGTCGAGCGCGCCCTTGCTGCCGGGCACAGACTGCCGCTTGGCGAAAGCGTGCCGCGTGCCAGTGAACATTGGCCCCAGTGCGCCTTGGAGTCGTCGCGTCGCCTCGCTGGGTGTCTCCCCGGGGAGGTCCCACTGGATGTTGTTGATTCCTGTTTTGTGCAGCTGTTGTCCCGTGTCGGGGTCCTTGGGCTCTGGCCATTGACGCGGGTCGGGCCTCTGGCGCCGCCATGTCCACGGTACCGGCCTCATTGTCCTGGCTGGGGGGCTCGCTAGCTGCTCACAACAGCTCCGGCTGCGCGCCTTGCAGGGTTTCGCGGGGAGATGCAAGCCGCATGGTTGGCCGCCAGGCTGAAGTCGGATCGCGCCCGGCGGCCAGGTCAGACGCGGCCTTGTGGCAAGTGGGGAAGGGCCCCTTTCACTGGGGTTCGCCTTCGGGCTTGTGCCCGCCGTCGCTCCCAGGTGCGCCCCCTTTGGACAGCGCAGGACTCTCTCCGGTCTCTGGGGTGCCGCTGGTTGTGCCAGGCGCGCGCGCGCTCGGCGGCGCGGCCTCCATAGCCGGGGCGCGAGCTGCTTTGCCAGCGGCGCCCTGGGCGCCCGG